CAGAAGAAATAGTAAGTATGAAATCACCACAGGACTTCTCACAATAAACTCCATATGTAAAACAGTAATTTGTGCATAAAATCTTAATGCTACCTCACTTTGTGTCCATGGGAGGTGCCATCTCTTATGCGCCTGAGATAAGGAATGGAGTCAGGAGGAGGGTCCTATCCATGAGGGGCTGTCTAGCTGTGGAGCCATATTCTGTCTTCACAGTCAAAGCTCTGGCATCTTTACACTACCCCTCTGAGTCTGAAAGTGTTGGGAGAGGTGACAGACAGCTGGTCTCTTCCAGTTCATTGAATGCACTACACTTCAGCTTGCTTGAGTCACCTAAACTACTAAAGTGTTGTACCTGCTGACAATGACACCCTAGCAGCTAACTCTGAGTACCCATCCTATATTTTAAAGACTGAAAAGTTCCTCCTGATAAGAAAATTTAAAAAAGTACCATAGATTGCTAAACTACTCTCTGACCCATTGTCTAGCTGTCAGATACATTTTGTTTCATTTGGGAACTAAACCTGGGTTCTTGCATGCACTGGGCAAGCATCCAGTCTATACCACAACCCAAGAAGAAATTAAGCATAGGAGCAATATTATTCATTATAAATTAATACAATTTGAGGAATTTTGGAGGTTATTTTATAGATGACAAACAACAACAACAACAAAAAAACCCCTGTAAGACATGTACTGACAACTGGAGAGAAAACTCAGTGGTTAAGAATGATCACGCCTCCTGGAGATGACTAGAGTTCAGTTCCCAGCACCCATGTTAGGAAGCCCCCAACCACCTCTAACTCCAGCTGGACTCCATAGGTACCCCCACACATACATACATACCTTCACACAGGCATTACCCCCAACACAAATACTTACATGCCCTGAAACATACATTAGAAACCCCCCCCCCCCCCCCCCCCCCCCCCCCCCACCCCACACCCCACCCCCCCCCCCACATACATACATACATACATACATACATACATACATACATACATACATACATACATACATACATACATACATACATACATACATACCCTCACACAGGCATTACCCCCCCACATACTTACATACCCTCACATAGACATTAGCCCCCTCCACATACATGCATACCATCATACATATCATACAGACATTACCCTCTCACACACACACACATACATGTACCTTCACAGAGACATACACCTAGACACATAAATAATTTTTTAATCTTAAAAAATGTATTGAGAAGATATTTAGGCTTGTTCTGGTGGCACATGTCTGTATACCCAGCACTTGTCAGGCTGAGGCAGTCTGAGGATAGGAATTCGGGACTAGCCTGGCTACATGGCAAGTCTGAGGCTAGCCTGGGCTACATGGTAAGACTGTATTTCAAAACAAAACCAAAAAAAGAAAGAAAGAATCCAGAAAAGATGTTTCAAAGTCAAGAGATTCCACAAGTAACCTTACAAAGTAATGGGATAATGACAGTTTTCACACTGCATTTCATTTGGAAGTGGTTGAAATGGCCTGGTTGCTAAAATGCTTGCTGTAGAAGCATGCAGACCTGAGTTGAGATCCCTTACACTTGTGTAAAAGCATCCAGACATTGAAAAATACCAGTACTTTTGGCGATAGAGACAGGCATGTAAACACGCTAAGTTTCATGTCTAAATGTGTGGTTCCTCATCCTTAACATCAATTTCTCTACTTGTGTGTGTATGTAAATGTCCTAAAATCCAAAAGCATCTGACAGTGCAAATATTTCATCCTCAAGATGTTGGTAAAAAATGTCCAATTTCTATTTCTCAAAGCATATAGATCTATGGACAGGAAAACATGGCCATATGACATGAATAAAAGAGTGAAATAAAACAGAATGTAAAGATTCATTTTTTTTTTAGAACCATTTGTCTGAGGCTGAAGATATGGATCGGCAGTTGAGAGCACTTGTTACTCTGCTAGAGGACCCAGGTACCCGCATAGTGACTCACAACTATCTAGAACTACAGTTCCAGGGGGACCTAACACTTTTCTGCTGACCCCCATGGGCACCAGCATGCATGTAATGCAGGCAAAACACCCACACATATACAATAAAATATGTTTTCAAAGAAAATTTTGTCGTAACATAAATTTTGCTAGAAGCCTGCATTGGCTTTCTCTGCTCAGAAGGCATTTCATTTGTCTCCTCTCTTTTGGCATTGCTTCTGCTCCATCAGGCTCAGAGGCCCAGTAGGCAATGGAACCCCTATAGTAACTTTCTATTTCCCTCATAGTCTGGAGGCATCTACAGTGGCTTAATGTATTTGGTTGTTTCTCTCTTTGACAAGATCCTGAGAGCAAATAGATTTTTACTGTATTGTAGCCTGTGAACCTGTCACTGTGGCCACACCCCCTTGGGCATGGGTTCAGGCAAACTGAAGTGGAAAAGAAAAGTGTGAGGCATGGTCTCTGGCTTGCTGTCTCTCTCTCTCTCTCTCTCTCTCTCTCTCTCTCTCTCTCTCCTTGGGTCAGCCAATCCAATAGGAAGGGCAGAGAAGTGCTCCCATAGTTCTTTATTATTATCTGTGTAAGTGTTCCCCAATAAAGATCCATTTATCATTTATCTTGGATCTAGTGAAATCATTACACCCTCGCCTTCACTGTATGATGTCTTCCATTGCTCCAGGTCTGTAAAACTCATCAATGAAATGTCTCCATCACCTCTTGTTTCTCCTATGTCTGTACTCAATTGAAATTCAGTATGTGTAAAACCTGTTCCAAGATAGCTTAAAAGGTTTGGAGTCTAGCATATAAGAAGCTTCCTTCTACCAATAAATCCTGTCTGCTGTAAGACTGTTTTATTTTGTAGCCATTAAATATATCAAAACTTTATAAATCAAGCCCATTTTATACCAAATGCAAAAAACAAATGTGAAAAATTAGTGGATCTTGACCAATAGAATTTTAACTTGATATATGGTAAAAACTAAACAAAAAGTCATAAACTAAAAATATGCTTATGAAATGATATAAAACATTAAGAACCTCAATATAATAAATAATTGAAGAAATATGAATAATGCCAGTGAGAAGAAAACAATTTTATCTCTAGTTTTAAAGAATACACATAAAAATATCAAAGTTATTATCAAACACCAACATATGTACTCCCCTACAATGCATCCTTACACATGTAAATATATAACAAATTCTCAGAAAGCATAAAATAATTTGCCTAGAAATCCCACACTTGCATTTGTCAGGATAAACAATTGTAAGTACAGATAAGATATGCATAGCATTGTTATAAATGTCCAATAACAAACAGGGAGTAGTTAAAGACAGTACCCCTGAATACCAGACAGCCACTACAATGATATTTTAAAAATAACTTACTGATGTAAAAAGATTTTTAAAACATATTCCTTAGTTAAAATCGACACATGACAAAACAATATTATGTAGTATAACTGCTTGCGGTATATGTATATAGGAAAGAATAGTAAGAATTGTATGGCACGTATAATTGAAATTATTTTTATGCATCTCTGTTTTCTAATTCATTCTCAACAAATAACACAATAACCACATAATAAACATGAAAAGTGAAACTCACAAAAAGAATCCCTTCAGCTAGGAAGCAGGACAGAGGAGTCAATTCAACTGTTTTGCATGTTAGAAAACCTAAAATAATGTGTGAAGCTGATTTCGGTGGGAGAAAAAAAAGGTCCTAGAAAAATATTTAATTATGTGAAACTTATTTCCCAGAACTTTACAGATGCATTTGCCTGATAACAATCTGCTAATTACAAGTGCTATCTGCATAGTCTGAAAAAGGCTCTGATGACCCCACTCTGAGCTGTCATTCCACCTGAATTGCACCTATGCCATGTTTTGTTTGTAGTTCTGGTCCTTAGAAAAGTTAACCTGAGGCTCTGTGGGGTAGCTACAGCTGGCTATGTGTAAATTTTATTTGGTCTTTGGTAGATCATTGAGACAATATACATCACATACTCTATTTGTAGAGCAGAGCATATTGTCGCCCAACACCACCCATCACTACAATGAAGAAGCCAAACATCCCTCTTAGGAAAGCTATCTGGTTACACCACATCCGGGGCTCCTGCACACCATACTAAAGACTCTTATGTAGCTGACTTTGCTTTCTTTCCATTCTCTTTTCGTAACTGGTAGCAGACAACAAAAATAGAAACTTGAGCACTAAAAATACAACTAGAACATTTGAAATGTCACTTTTATACATCATTCCATCTGATTCCTTCACATAAGTATGGATATCCTGATCCAGACGGCAGCAGGTGAAGAATCTAATTTGAAATGTGTTGCTGTCCTGCCTCTGTGCCCAGTCCACTAGCCTCATCAAGTTGCAGTTATGAGAACATCATATTTGCTTTAGAAATTAACAGCCAACAGTTGGAGGAAAGCAGCAAAGAGAGGCTGTATACAGACCTTGCATCTGGTAGCTGTACGGTGCCTGTCCAGGTTGAGGGGTACCAAAGCTTGTGCCATAGCTGAGAAATCCCGTCTGTCCAGGTGACTGAGACTGTGACAAGCCACCTTCCATCTTGATGCCTGCCCACAATGCACCTAAATCAGTTAGTGACAGCTGATCTATCTGTTCGTTTTCAGAAGCTGGTGAATATAGACAAGCCCACACTCCCACAACTGCCCAATCACAACTGCCCCCCCGACTCCTCTGCAGGAATTCAGAGCATGAATGTTTACAGTTGAATGCCATAAACCACAAGCTCAATTCTTCTTTTAAAAAGTCTAGATTTGAATGTTCATTCATATGATTCTCTCTGATTTTCCTGCATTCAACTTTCTAGAAAGTAGAACTCGGGAGGTATTGTTTCCACAGTTCATTTTGTTATTTTACCAGAGTAGGTCATCCTGCCATAGTCAGAAATAATCATAACAAGAGATAAGACACACTGTTCCCAAGCCACTAAGTCTCCTTTTCCCTGAGATATGATTTCTCAGAGTCTCTAGGATTTTCATCTTTTTTCCCAACTCTGATGCTAGTGCACAGGACACTTTGATGCCAAAGGAAGCAACACAGGATATGAACAAGTGGGGAACCCATCTAGATCAAACCCATCAGAACTAAATGCCACTTTCTCTAAGGGCATGTGACCCTAAGATTTCTTCATAGAATGGTGAAAATAAGGAAAAGGGAAAAAAGATAGGCATAGATTTTCATAGTGAGACTAGCAGAGAGGATTCAAAAAGAATTTGTTATATCTTAGATTAGACCCACCACTCATCTGCTCATAGGTTTCTAGGCAAATAAAGTTTCTGCTTCTTTCTTTTCTTCTCCTGAGGATCTAGATCTTTCTGGTAAAGCAGCATTAAGAAACCAGAATGTCAAGGAACTGAACCTCTAAAACATCAGAGTGATCTATATATTCCTGCAAGTGGCCAGTAGCATGCTGTTTGTCCTTACTTGTTTTCAAGTATTCAAGTGTGAGCCTTCTAAATGCAGGCAAAAGTACATTTGAAGTTATATTATCATGTAAATACAAGTTTATGTTTTATAGAATTATAGAAAATTATTTGTGGTTCTCAATTACTTTTCAAAGCACCAGGCTGGTACACTAATTCCAGACTGGGACATGGCAACACTGAGGTAGGCCACTGCTCTCAACTGTAGTTAAAGGCAGTCATAAAATGACCCTCACTCCCACAGAGGGAAGACAGAAACATTCCTGCCAAGAGAATTCACATTTTTCAATAATCTTGGTTTTCACTGAAGATAAATCATATCTTTAGGATCTAGAATACACAGTAGTCTTGCTGTTTATTTCCATTTTAGGGGAATTTCATGGGTAGAATGAAGTTAGGTAATTATCCTAAGGCAGCAGATGAATCTGATTTGGCTGAGAGATCCTACTTTAACTTCTTGGGTATTTCTGAATACTTCACAATGACCTTAACATTGAAAACTTAGTACAAGCTTAACATGTCAAAACAAATGTGATGTGCTATGTACAGATAATCTCACCCCTGAACAACTCAAACTTGTAAATGATTCCTGGAAACATACCTGCCCTAGACGGGTGGCTGGACAGTTCTAGAAACTCCCTTTATTTCCATGTGTCACCAGTAGGGACGTTCCCCCTTGTATCTCCTCCCAACCAAGGGCATCCTGCTCTCCCTCCCGCCCTCACTGGACAACCTCAGAAGCTCAGGATGTTTTCATCATGCTGTGATGAAAACAGATCTGGAAAAGCAAGAAGAGGTGGAAAACACCAAGAGCCATACCTATCCCCCAAACCTCTACCCACAGGGAGAAAACTCATTTTCTTAGAAACCTATGAGCAGATGAGAGATGGGTCTAATCTAAGTTGTAACAAATTTGTTTTTTTGTCCTCTCTGCTATTCTCACTATGAAAATCTATGCCTATCTTTTGGTTTTCTTTTTTTCTTATTTTCACAGTACTATATAGAAATCTTGGGGGTCACAGGCCCTTAGAGAAAGTAACATTTAGTTCTGATGGTTTTGAGATGAAACTACAAAAACTGGAGTTACATGTGAGTTAGACTTTATTTCCATATATTTTAACATAAACTAATAGAGAGTCAAATTCCTTGATGTCAAGAGACAGCAGTAAATGGAAGAAAGTTGCCCAACTTCTACTGAGTGGTGAAAAACTTCGACAGAATAGCAATGTTTTCAGTGTTTGCTGGAAAGTATGCAACACAAAAACTACACCAACAAAGACTAATGTAACAGCTGCCAAAATGCTATTACCTTCAGAAGGACCTAGTCTAGTCTTTTTCTACAAATACTCATACTTGTTTATTTGTCATTCTCTGTGTTTTTCTTTCCTCAATAAAATGTCCCATATTAGTGTACTTTAATTGGTTGAAAAACTGCAATCACAACTCAAATTGAAGAAAATGTATTTTGAAATTTGTAGTCTTTTGTAAATAGAACTTTGGGATTTGGCTGGATTTATTTTTAATTTACAGGTATTGACCCCATCACAATTGAGTTAAATTACACCAAGATAAAGATAATCTCCAGGTGGGAAGGAACAAACAGCATGTGAGCTTTGAATGCTTCCTGATCCAAGTCTTCAAAGCGCAGTCCAGGAGGTGATATATAGATCAGTTTTCCTAATGGGTGATAATGCTGAAATTTGATCATGTAACCACCCCAACATTTAGGGCAACAGTTTGCTGAATTCTACATGTATTTCCCTAATCATAGCTAGGCATCTGATAAACAGGAAATGGATCTTTACCCCAAAAGACTTCATTCATAGAAGTTTTATCACAAATATGCACAAAAATACTTTGGATTCCAGAGTCAAGTGCTCCGATGCCCAATTCAGATATAAGTAGAGAGAAAGGAGAGCAAGGGGCCTAATACCCAGGCAACCTGCTCACCACCTCTGACCTCAAGTTAAGAGTTCACTGTCTTTACAAAGCTCACTAGCAGGAATTACACAGAATACAAAGCAAGCAGGGTAACAACAATTTTTGAAGTGGACCACCAGCAACACTCTGGAAGTAGTACTAAAGCACACAACATGGCCCCACCAGAATACACCACAAGAATAATGGTTCAATGACTCACCATAGGAGGAAATTCCATAGGGCTGTCCCGGCTGTGGGTACGTGGCGTAGGCTGTGGCTTGTTGCATTCCTGTGGTAAACTGTGTTTGCCCATATGCAGCCATAGTTTGTGAGGAAGGGGTAGGGAGAATATGTGGGTATGGTCTGCTATTTGTCAGGAATGACAGAAAATAGAAAGCCCATGCATTAGATGGAAACATGCAAGGTCAAAATGAACAACTACATAACAAATTCCAGCTAAAGAGTGTATCTTACAGTCCAACTTTCCACTAGAAATTGACAAAGCACTTCAAAGTACTTCAGTGCTACTAGGTAGTGCTTAAGATACATTTCCATATATATATATATGTATGTAATTAAGCGTCTACAAAATTCCTTTCACTTAAATTAAGATGTAACATGGGCACAGACATGACTTGGAACAGAGTAAAGTCTACTTAGAAAAGTCATGTATTGATTAAGAGAAAATATATCTTACTTGGAAGGATAAATCTGTGGTGGAGAGAATGGGTGAGCTGGTCTTGGACTAAAGCTGCTGCTCCCGAGAGCTGAGGAAAAAGAAAACACAGTGATGCATAGGAACCCAAGAAGAACACTAAACATGAGAAAAACATTGGATGTCACAAACTATGGCATCACCACAGATAACTGCAGGCATTTGACCTCTGTGATCTACAGACATAGTGATTTCGTACTGTCTTTCTACTAGGAAGTAAAAAAGGGCTGGAGAGATGGCTCATGCAATAAGAGCATCGACTGCTCTTCCAGAGGACCTCGGTTTGGTCCCCAGCACCCACCCACAGGTTGGCTAACAACCATCTGTAACCTCAGTTTCTAGGGGGTCCAATGCCTCATTATGATTATCCCAGGCAATGTACACATGTGGTATATAGACATGTGCAGGCAACACACCCATACACATGAAATAAAATGAAACCTTTAAAAGGGGTACTCATAGCCACTGATTGAGTGGTTCTAATTTTAAATAGCCTCTTAAAAATCAAAGATACAGCCGCAAATATAAATACAGCCATGAATACTTGTCAGAGTGCTTTGACAGCGAGGAGTGCTGTCCCCTTCAGGAAAGCCAGGTTGAAAGGGAAGTAGAAAATTCAAAGGGTCTCTGTATATGCATCAGGAACACACAAAGCTCAAACGGAATTAACAAGAAATGTGTTTTAATCTCTCCTGTGAGGGAAATGGGAGTGATCCACATTTGCCTATGTCGATGATCTAACAATGTTGTTTAGTAAAACTGCATTCCTGCAGCTATCTTTAGTGTCTCAGGTTGCAAGCCTAGCCTGTTTGTTCTGTGTTCTGTTCTCTTAGATGTATGTATTCAACTTGGATGCTCAAGCCAACAGGTTTTTCCCCCTTAAAGAAACAGTTCAGTAATCAAGCAAAACTTAATTCCTTTTAATCAGATTTTCTTGACTCTGATTTCTGAATTTCAGAAATTCACCAGGCTTCTATAAAATGTTCTTTTGACTCTCATTCAAATTAAAAAAAAAAAAACATTTTCAATAGGACAATTTACCTACATGTAACAATATACATTTGTTTATGAATACATATTTCCCCCTCAAACTTTCCAATCTTTCCCTGGCTAAAATGCAATGTTTGGGTGCAATTATTATAGAATGTAACTAACCTCAGTGTGTTTGCAGGCTCTGCCACATAGTCTCTGTATTTCTCCCCTACTCTTATGTCAAGTCCCATGCACTCAGAGAGTCATGTCTTTTCTCATTTGTCATGTAATGCATTTCTGCTTGTCACACTTCATGTCCCAGTGGGTACTTGGGATAAGAGTGGGAAATTTTGATTAGAATCTCAGAAGATATGGGCCATCTTTCTCTATTCAAATAAATGAGACCTAATCCAAGGACTGCCAAAAGGTATGGGGACATCTGGCCTTTCACACTGCCAGGTTTCCACGGCTGGTGTCACATTAGGAGGGACAGAATCCACATGAAAGAGATGGAAGTACCACATGGCTCATGTCCCCCAAACTCTGGGCACTTACTGACTACCTTCTTGGTCCCAAGCCCCTTGGCAGATGCTGCAGGAGCAGTCATGGAAAAGACAAGCCCTATCCTACCTGTGGGGAGATTTGTTAAATGCTTCAGTTTCTAACACGGAGGTATTGCTGAGAATACACTTAGACTATGAAGGTTGCCTGACGCTTCTCCAGGTCACCTCTGGGGACAAGCTCTTCCACACCCCTTCTCTAAGCATAAAAAGAGGCCAAGGTCAAAGCAGACAATTATCTGCAGAAGGAATTATCTCCCTGGAAATCACCATCAAAAATGAGTGTTTCTAAAGGGTATGCCACCTGATGAGAGAAGCCACAAGACCCTCCTTTGTTCTTTTCTAGATCTGCTTTTCAACTCCTGAGTCATAATTCTTGAAAAGATCATCATCTCAGTAAGTCGCACCCAACAATTTTTTTTCAAAGAAAATAAAGAGAGGTGTTAGGATTTTCTATCACACTATAAGTTAATGGAACTGGAGTTCAAAGCATCTGCACTGTATGTGTGTATACACAGGAAAGTAATAAGAACTGGGGGCTTACAGGGTGTGGAAAGTCAAGTCACATGGTCTCAAGTCATTCACTCCTAGCTTCCATATAATGATGCAACAATGCTTGCTTCTAGGCTACATATGAGCCTTGTGAAGACTAAGTAAGATAATTCATTTGAAGTGATTCATATAGTGCTTACATAAATAATAAATGACTTTCTCTGATTCTCACCATGTTTGTCCCTTCTTTCTGGATTCCTGTGGTATGTGTGTATACATGTGTGCATATTTATGTGTATGCAGGTGTATATATGTGTGATAGTGTGTGGGGGGGGCAAAGGCTAGATGTTAATCTTGGGCGTTCTTTTTCAGAACCTTATTTTGTGAGACAGGGTCTCTGATTTG